CTCTGAATGGCAGAATTTTTCACCCATAGCTACCTCAGTTCAAAAGAATCAGAATGGTTGGGGAGGCATTCTCCTTGAAGGAGACATTAATTCTTGGATATTTCTGAGAGTTCTGACCTGGGATCTAGCTGCCTCTGTCTTCAAATATAGGAGAGGCAAAGAAGGCAGAGCCAGGCATCTATTAAGTAACCCATTCTCCAGGTACAGCAAATGTTCCACTTTAGCAACACCACAGCCCTTACCTTCACTAATCCACTGTGGATTCTGGTTTCATAGCCTGCTTTAAGTGCCACAACCTCCATCCAATTCCCCATTGTCTCTGCATTTGAGATGGATTTAGAAACAATGACCCTTCACAGGGTAGCCTTCAGGAATGACCTGTGTATTCTGTATCCATATGATACACTATTAAGAAGAGCCTTTAGGAGGACAACATTCCCTTAAGTGGACTAACCAGCCTCCATGCCTCGTCAACACCAAATATTGGGTTTCCAACAGACATTTGGTGATACTAGACCCTTTCCAGCCCTCGGAGCTTTGTTGTGCGTTAGGCATTTGGAGAGCTGATCTCAGGAGTACCTTTAAAATCTTCAATGCTTTAATTATTGAGTCTCTATGTCTAATTCTCACCATATTCTGCCATAAAGTCTCCATATTACATTTCCTTGAAAGTCAGTGGACAGTCCTCTTAGGAAACATTCACAGATCTGAAGCTCTATGTGAGCAGCAAAATACTCACCCATAATTTCTCTGTTAACCAGGCAAGCTGTTCCTGGGATCTCTTCAGAGCAATAAAAAACAGTGATGATGAAAAGAAGTATGTCCTTTTTCAGGGAAATACAAAAATTGCCTGGAAGCAGTGACTATAAAAAACAGGTCATTTGTACCAAGGCTGCATTTCAATGGTAGACAGCCCACTTCCCTGGAGGGAAAGGGGAATGAAGGACATCATAGAGCTAGCACATGTCTGAGGGTGGAGGGGGCAGGAGGGCAAGGACTCTTGAGAAGTAAAGGTCTCTATTCTGCAAGAGAATGTCCTTTCTTACTGCACTCAACATCCCATAAACAGCAGGTATGCAACTCATCATCATCATCACTTAGCCCTCTCAGAGTACATGGAGTAAGAGCAACTTCTTAAATATAGCCTAAATAAAGATAAGGGCCTGTACTATACCACCACTGGCCTGCCACCAAAGACATTCTTAAACCAGAGACTTTCCAGCCAGAGTGCTAATCTTTGCAGAATCAGTGCCCATCCCCAACGACACTCCTGCAACTGGAGTGCAATGAGAGAAACAAAAAGAGTATAGTGAGGTTTTGAAATGCTTGACCTAAACCCACCATGGTTTGTACTCTCAGAGTTCAGGCAGCTGAGACAGGATGCCCCTGAACTTAAGTTCAAAGTCAGACTAGGCTATAGCCTTGCCTCAAAGGGAAAAAAAAGTTGTAGGATGTGGAGAAACCAGGTTGGAACTGAGATAGTGAGCTTGTAAAGTTCCAGAAGGCGTTACACAGGCACCTAGGGGAGGAACCCTACAAATTACAATATTAACCAGCCAGACAGGATGTACCGTCCTGTGTGACAAAGGCACAACTGTTATGGAGGAAACCAAATAAGCTGACTGGATTTGAGGCCTGCCCCACAGGCAGAAATCCATGCCTAATACCACAAGCACCTGGTCAAAACCCCATGCCTAATGAGATATAGAGCTAGGGAATAACTTACTAACGGTGCATAGCCAAGTGCACACACTGTCTCCTAAATATGTTTAAACCCAGACAAATGGTGCTCTCAGTCCTAATCAGAGAAGCCTCTCTTGGAAGAGAATGGTGGTGAATGCAGACACTCATGACTGCCCTAGATGTTGAAAATAAGCGACAGGAGAGGTTCAGCCCTAAATAAGCATTTAAAGCACCCCCCTCTAATGCTCATAGAACATCAAAGAGGATGAAGAAAGAATGTAGAAGCAGAATAATGATAGGGAGAAAGGTTATGAAATGTCATCTAGCCAACTGTAATATGAACTCACCACACCATCTGAGGTTGTCCACACAAGTTCTGCCCAAGACTAGCCCTGCCAACAGTCAGCCATGGATGAGGGAGGACCTTATGGGCCTTACCCATTACTGAAAAGCTATTGTCTACTGACCTTCTGGGAAGGGGAAGACATTGTCTTCCCTTGCATATCCACTAGTGAGCCCACAAGCCAATGGATAATTCTAAACCAGAGTGACACATGTTGCCCTGGTTAAACACAATGAATAAGAAAATGAAACAAGAAGTCATAAGTTTGGTAAAGAGATCTATAGGACAGAGGTGGGAGGGAAATAAGCCAGAATGAGGGGAGAATAATTAGGATGCATTATATACATGTATGAAATAAAGAGCAAAATTAATTAATGATAAAGAAGAATTGACACATTCAGATAATTCTAAGAGCTAGTCACAGGACTGATATAATAAAAGATATTCTAGAAATTAAAAAAAACAAGATCTGGGAGGAGATGGGGGAAGGCAAATATAATCCAAATATTCTGTATGAAATTTTCAAAGAAAATGTTTAATAATATTCAGGAGAGACTTCCACTTAAAAGCCTTATCCATAGCCTTGATTTTATTTTAAGATTGTTAATTTGTATTCTTAATTGTGTGTGTGTGTGTGTGAGAGAGAGAGAGAGAGAGAGAGAGAGAGAGAGAGAGAGGAGGGAGGAGATGAGAGAAAGATAGAGAATACACATGAAGGCAGTGGTGATGGAGGTCAGAAGAGGGTGAAGCTGGAGTTACAAGGAGCTGAAAGTCAGATGACATGGGTGCTTGGGAACCAAACTTGGGTCCTCTGTGAGATTAGTGGGTGCTTTTAAGCACAGAGCTATCTTGCTCAGCCCAATATCCTTTATTTTTAAGAGCTGTGGTGCAGCAATATTCCTCTAAATCCTGCAAAGCCACAGCACTTACACACAAATAGAATACAGTCCAAGCAAATGACAGATGACTGATATAAGTATTTTCCCTCAGATCACATCCAAGATAATCTAGGATAACAAAGAATACAAGAATCACTCCTTAACGACTTTGGAAAAATAAAGCCAGTAATTCCATTATCCCAAATATAAATATCCCTTCAGAAGCAAAGCCTCACTGCGGAATTTAATCTTCACTCAAAATAAACCGTTTCCTGTGCTAAATGGGATGGAGCAGTTCAAACACCACCAAGTGACTAAACATTGGGTCAGGAAATTCTATCTGACTGCCCAGAGAGGGCACAGACCGCTGACCCCAAAATATAATGAAACCTCCCCAAGGCTGTGAACTGTGTCGAGCAGAGACACGGAATCCTGTCTGTGGTTCGAGCTGCTCCATTGTGCAATCTCCCCCTGTACCTCTACCTTTGAGGACTCATGAGAACAAAATGATGACAAGGACTTTCGAACCCCAACAGGAGATCAGCACTAGTCCTGTCCCCACCTCTGACCTGCCCCCTGTATCCTGCTGCTAGGCATGAGGTCTTCACTTCCTCTTTGGTGTTGGATGGGCAACTCTTCTTTCTCAGGTACTCCGAGGGCATGACAGGAGCCAGGGTAATATGAAACGTTTTTTAAAGCAGCAGAAATGAGAGGATGTCTCTACATCTTGGAGGGGAAAAAAGAAAAGAGCAAAGAGCAAGGAGGCACATGGAACCTTTCTCAACAGAATCATGAGGCCGTCCTCTCTTCCTGAATTCCTGAGGCACACGTCACGTGCTCTTCAATACACTGCCATTCAGGTTTTTCCTCCATCCTTGAAGCATGTCATATTTCACTTTTAAAGCTTGGGTTTCTTTTTAGTGAAATGGATATCTTGAGCTTCTGAGGGGATTTGTAAGCAATTATTAAAATAACGCTGAGAAATATTCCAATGTGATCCTGTCCAGTCCACATATGGTGGATATAAAATTATCCAGTAGTGATTTCAAATTATGGAGGCATATCTACACACGGCGTCTGGCCAGGAGTGGGTACATACTTAATATGATGCACACCTACAGTGTGGATGACAGAGAAAGGAGCCTAGTAATGCAGCAAGCCTCACAATAGTTCTTTCTCAAAAGGTGTTAGATAATCTTTATTCTGTAATATCTGCCAGGTATCAAATCAGAAAATCCACTAGATGTTTGTCTATGTGATTCTGCATAGAGGTGAAGTTGAGCCTGTAATAGTTAGGGTGTAAGGCCTTGGAAAATAATTAAAACAACAAGCATGGAAGGGAGGGAGGAAGGGAGAGGCAGAGAGAGGAAGGGATGGAAGGAAGGAAGGAGGGATGGAGGGACGGAGGGAGGCCCTTAGATCCCAGTGAACATCTGCTTCTTGGGGAGAACTAAGATTTCTTATGGAAAGAAATACAAACAAGTCGGGCACCAACAGGGACATTCACTCATGCACTTTGTGATGAGCCTGGCAGTAGGTACATGACAAGGGTCAGCATTGGAATGAATAGTAGACCTTGTCCTCAAAATACCACAGCCAAAGAAGTCAGTGGACTCCACATGTGTCCATCCATGGGATGAGCACATGACAGGAAACTATCAAGGCCACTGGAAGATTAGAAAGGGATTGATGAATTCCACCTAGGCAAGGAACCCAGAAAAAGTACAATAGGAAACATGAAACTTCAACTGGGAATTAAAGAATGTATATGAATTCACGAAGAAAGAATTGCTGTAGGGAATACTACAGTCAGGAGTGTGTGTGTGTGTGTGTGTGTGTGTGTGTGTGTGTGTGTGTGTGTGTGTGTGCGTTTTATCTC